CGAGGGGTGTGCTCAATGAAGTACTTGAGCCTTGTAATAGCCCCCAAGCTTGTCTCCAGCATAGTCCACATCTCGATGAATTCAGCAAGCGTCCGGTTGAAGCTGATGATGTTGACCATTGCCAGACCGATGGCGCCTTTGGTAGTAGTATTATTGAAGTGCAATGCGAAAGCAACCAGGCAGAGCGCCATTCCTGCAACAAAGAGATCCAGGACGACATTCAGCCAGCGCTGGACACAGAAGAAGAGATAGTACGGCCTCTGCGATGCGTCCAGTAGAGTCTGGCTCTCGTGCAGCATGGCCGAACGCCAGGAGAAGGCGCGGAGTGTGGGTAGACCGGCGAGGACCTCGGTGAAGTGGGTGAATAGAGGAGATTTGGCTTCGAGGTCGATGTGACGGAGCTGACGGGAGGTGCGGAGATAGTATTTCTGGAGAAGGTAGAGGGCCACGAAGGAAGGGGGGATGAGGGCAGCGAAGTAGGATGCGCCGGAGGCGATGAGAGCTGTTTCGGCAATGACGAGGAGGAAGGTGTGGAGGGTTGCAAAGGCGGACATGGGAAGGCGGTGGTCTATAAGGGTCATGTCTTGACTGAATCTGTTGAGGGTCACGCCGCTATCTGTCGTTGTGAAGAAGACCAGAGGGGCACTGGGGCGTTTGTTAGTTGAGTGTGATGAGAGGAGATCTGGGTACATACGCGAGGACAGCGTCAAGGAGCATCTGGTGGAGATGGCGTGCGGATCGAGGGACGACAGTGAGCATCCAGAAACTTGAGTTATTAGCATCAAAGTCCACAAGAAAAAAAAAAAAGAAAACTTACCTCAAGGAGACGGCGTTCATGACGAGATAGAGCAAAGCGAACATGAGGTAGATACCGAAGTACATGGCCGGACGTTCGTTCGTGCCCTCTTCTGTCCACACTCGCAGCCAAACCTCTGTAATTGAGAGGTCAGCAAGCCTCACGATCGAAATTTGCATAGTTGAAGGACACTTACGGGGAAGCTTGGTAAAGCCCACATACAAAACGATCATGAATACGAAGGGACCTAACATCCGCCACCCGATGGAACTGAAGTAGAGCCTATAAACCTCGGTGTCCCCTGTCTGTCTCGTGAGCTCTGCCTCGGTGACCCTGGCATTAGTTGGTACTGAAGCCTCTACTTTGATGGTCTTCGCTTCATCTTCGGTCAGCTCTTCGGCATCATGATCGTGGTCTTCTGCAAGCTCCTTGCCCTTGACGTCCTGAGCGAGATGACCCCACACAGACCGTGGTACGGAGTCGAAAGCGATCTGATTACGGATAATGGTACCATCTTCGATCATAGTAATGCAATCGGCAGCATGAAGGAAGTTCACTAAAAGCATGTTAGTCTATAGAGTTAGTATTGCCTGTGAGAAGACTTACCATGACTGGTGGCAAGGAGTACGGTCATGCCAGCCTGTCGAAGAAGACCATTAGGCCCCAACAGGCGTTGAAACACCGCTTTTGAGGTTTTATTGTCAAGACCACTGAAGACGTCGTCGAGAAGGAGCAGCTTTTTTCGAGAGTATACTGCGCGAGCGAGTGCCTGGAAGTCCGTGAGCCACGATGGAATGACGCCGCAGAGACTGACTTACCACTCGTTGTTTTTGCCCACCACTCAAAGCCACCCCGCCAGTGCCAACAAGAGTATCCTCAGCTTTGGGAAACAGAGCAATGTCCTGGTCCAGACTGCATGCGCGGACGACCGCCGAGAACCAAGCGGCATCATAAGGGACTTGGCCGATGATGTTGTCCTTGACGGAAATATTACGCAGCCAGGCGGCTTGGTCGCAGAATGCAACGGAAGAGGTATGTAGAGTCACAGTGCCGGAAGAGATCACCAACTCGCCGAGTATACCTTTGAGGAGTGAAGACTTGCCACAGCCAACACGGCCAACAAGCATGGAGATGGAGCCCTTCTTCAGTACAAGTGAGATATCCCTTAGGATCTCGGTGCCGTCTTTCAAAGTGAACTTCGCTTCATTGATGCTGACAAGTAGCTTGCCCAGTTCGATGGATGGCGGTCTGAGAGTCGTAGCTCTCAATGACTGCAACTCGACCGCATTGCTGGCCGAGACTTGATGCTCTGGGGTCAGGGGTTGCAAGTCTGACCCGTGGAGGCTGGGCGGCAGTCGCGCAGAGTCCAGAGAGGACTTCTCAGAGTTGGTTAAGATCTCCCGCCGGTCTTCGAGTTCGTCCAAGAGAAGGAACTCCTGGATTCGGGTAAAGCAGCCAAGAGCACCCACGAGTTGAATGATGGAAACGATCAACTTCATAAAGGGGGCAGACACGAGAACGATAATCGACAGGGCAGTGAAGGCCTCGGCTATGCTCAAGCCTTGTTCGGCCCGAGTCCAGAAGACGGCGGCGGCGATGATGACCACGGGTGTGATCTGATCGGCAGCTCCAACTGGAAACGTGGTGTCAGTTGTCAGATTACTAGAAGTGAGGTGAAAAGATCTTACCAATCACACTGAGAAAAGTGATAAGAATTCTGAACTTGACGGAGAGCTTCAGCTCCGTGATGCGAAACTTTTGCACTATGCTGGAGAAATGGTCGGCGAGACCCATCATCTTGACACCCTTGATCTGGTTAAGTAGTGATGATGTGATTGAGATACGCTTCTGAACACCTTCGTTCCACGCAACACGGGCCGGGGCCATGCGCGCAGATAACTTTGTGGTAACCGCAGTGCAGACTTTACGTTCGTTAGCAGCGGCTTGGGAAATGGGCAGATGAAATTTACTCACGGAGCCCGGGGACGAGAAGGAGGAAGCAAGGTGGTCCGACTTGACGGTACAGGAGGTAGATCCCAATTGGAAGCTCAACAACCGCAGGCCAGATATCATGGATGAACGTCAAAGACACGGCGATATTCTCAATGTCGACACTCATCAATGTGACTGGCGCGGAGTCTTTGATCGCCGACGCGTCTAGGTCCAAGGTCTTCTTGAAGATGAGCGACACGAGGCCGCCGCGGAAGAGGGTTACGAGCTGGAATGTCATGTGCTGGTACCAGCATCGAGATATCTGTGGCTGTTAACCTATGATGCGTAGGGGATAGATGAAAGACCCACGGCAAGTCCGACGTAGATGCAAGCCGTAGCGCCGACCAGGCCGGCAGCTGTGTTCCTTGAGTCCTCCCCCCACGGGCTGCCGACGAAGTTGACTATGCGGTTGACGAGCAGCGGTTGGGCGAACGTGAAGCCCGCGAACAAAAGACGGGGCAAAACACCAGCAAGGAAGGTGGTTCTGTATGCCCAGAACGTGCTGATGACCAAGCTCCATTTGCTATCCTTCTTACCTATGCAAAGTTAGATGACATCTGTAGATGAAACGGCGTTACGCACTTGTAGCCCACGCTCTGTCTAGCATGCCAAGCAGACGCGCCGAGTCAAATTTGGGGTCGATGGAACCCAGATCCTCAAGACCGATGAGAAGCCTGAAGCCCTGGAAGAATAACGAATTGAGCCACCAGAAGAGGCTTCTGCTGACGACACCGGTAGTGGATTCGACAGCAACATCCTTCTCACTGCTGGCCAAAAGAACTCGCTTGGGAGTCTCTTCAAGGGCGAGAATGACCACCTTGACTACTAACGAGGCGGTAAAGACGCCCGCGACCGAGTTCAGACCGTCTCTGAGCCATAGTGTTCTGGCTTGCGCGATGTCGAGGACGATGGTAAGAAACAGATACAGGCCGATGAGTGCCGAAGGCCTGATGGAACGCTTGTGCTCCGTGTAAGATAGGGCACCGAGGGCGATTGCTTCGATCAAGCCCAGCGCGCTTTCTGCGACCGAGGTGCGAGCTCTGGGTGTTGATGGTATGGACCATAGTGCTATGAGAACGATCTGGAGGCATAGGAACACAGAAATTGCGACCTACACGAATTAGCTCATTATACGAAACCTGATTTGCCGTAGAATTTGATATTACCAGTTTCAACCACAGCAGCTTTCCTGCTCGAACGCGGACGTCATTGCGAAGCAACCAGGTGATGCGAACCGGAGCAAGGAGGATGAGAAGGGCGGTGGGCAGGATGGACAAGATGCTCTGCTCAAAGAGCACAGTGAAGTCAAAGTAGCCGTTGACCTGCGGGCCGAAATAGTTGTCGGCGTCGCTCATGATGTCAGTCACGCTCAGAGGCTACGTGACTTACACTTGGGAAATGGTCAAAAACATAAGATGCGCTGGGAAAGCGCGTTGCGACTAGCTAGATAACCAACGGTTTTGCGAAACACGAGGTTCTTATCCATTCGCCAAGTTATCAGTCGCATCCCCTGGCGCAGGATTCCAGCTTCCTATTCGAGCGCGCTGATGCTGATCGGAGGCACAGTGTCCCAACTGCAGTTGACAGCAGTGACCGATTTGTCCAATCACACATCGCCAATTGCGAGTAAGAGACACGCGTACTGCTGGCTTCGTTTAGAAATTGTGACGGTCGGTGCCTCTTGTTCACTTATCAGCGGCTGTTGGGGTCTTGGTATCTGTGCTTCGATGGATTAATATCTTTGACACGAGTCTTGGAATCGCACGTCGCTCTGGTAACCTGCCGTTGTGTCTGTATTATGTCTCTTTGGGCTGGTTGTCTTCTCAGCGCCTTGAACTGACACCATGTCGTGACCAGGAGCGGCATTGCGCAATAATTTCGCTGACGTTGATACTTCTACAATAAAGGCTTGCAGTCCTAGTGGTTCTATCGTCCCTACCAATTTCATCTGTCATGGCCCTGACGTCTCTATTGGCCTCACTGGCCTCAAACACCTCTTCGCCCCGAGGCCAACTCATCAAATACCTCGATGGTCTGGCCATCATTCAACAAACCGAGTCTTCATTCAACACATGGACCGATACGTTTGACTCACACCCAGATTTGATGGCCCTAGGGGCAATTCTTGAAATTTTCACACGAGTATTAAAGCCTTGCATCGCACCTCTTTAATTGCTCCGTTTCCCCTACCAAGACAGCAACATACATCAACATGATGGAGATTGACGAGCCTTCGCCTAGAAACGAATGTTCCTTGGGCACGACTTTCCATCGATTCCCCCAACTCCCTCCGGCCATTCAACGAATGATATGGAAAGAGTTCTACCTCATCCCACGGCAGTTCCTCGCGCATTGGGAGGGCTACGAGGATCTTATAGGTAAAAATACTATCCTATCACCCTGGGATTTATACCCCGTTGCCCCAGGCTGCAACTGGAACGCAAAGAGTTACTACTACTCCATCGACAACACCATTGATCGTATGTCGAGGTCCGTGGCTCGCGGCCTTCGCAAGCGGTTCGGATTTCCCACGTATCGTCGCAAGAGCCTAGACCCCTGGTCGTTCTCGCAACCAACTGAGCAGGGCACTAGGTCGGACGTCATGATCAACTGGGAGGTGGACTTTATAAACCTGGAAACGGAGACTCCTCAAGTGGATCTGATCGACGACTTACCGCATCTTCAGTGGCTCAGATACATCGAGAACATCGTCGTTCAAACGTGGTTCAGCGAGTGTAAGTCAATCATCGAGAACATGAACGGGCTCACATCAGAGAACAAGTGGCTGCTGGAGATGAGGCACTGGCTCCCAAACCTCAAACTCATGCAGCGTGAGTTCACCAATAGGGCGCCAGTCGTTCTCAACGAATGGGCATTCTTCCAGACAAGCTATCTACTTCGTGAGGCAGAAGATACCCCGCCGAGCTGGAGGCATACAAGGCAAGTTGCGACTGACCTCCATTGGCATTCCTGGATTTTTTCGCCCAAGACACCTCAGTGGACTTCTTTTCTAGAAAGATTGCAAAGTAGTGGTGTCGAACTTCGACATGTGATGTCGCAGGAAATTGAGTTGTACAACGAGGTGTTGGGCAGTAGAAAGCTTTTTCAAGGGCTCGGGCAAATCGAGGCGAAGGAAATGGAATCGTGAGATATGGAAGCTGCGACGCCAGGCCCCCTTACGTGGGCTACTCCAAGGTTACCCAATGCATAGTGCCTGCCCATGTAGTACTTTACGAGTAGTTTAAGTAGTACCATCTTAGAATGAAATAATGTCACAAGAAAATACTATTCGTGTAGTTTGCTGGCGTAGACCCTCCAAACGCCACGCACTCGAATGCATCTGCGGCGGCAAGGATACAAAGAAGTAGCCGTATCTACGGCTTTCCCACAACACCCGCAACTTCCAAACCACCGTCCTTTGTCCGTGTCCTCCCAGACTCAGCTTCTTCCAGCGCAAGTCTGGGTCCCTTGCCAAGCACCTTCTCGCGATGCCACTGCCCGACGAACATACCCTCCGGGTCAGCCGCGTTCCTCACAGACCGCCACTCGGCCAGCTCCCTGCCGTAAAAGTCCTCCACCGCCTCGCTCGCGAGGAAATTCTTGGCCCAGTGCGGCTTGCCCCCGAGATCTTCCATCAGCCACTCGAAGGCCTCGTAGTACCGCGCCCGGCAGGGCGGGTCCATGAGGTACGGCCGGTACAGCGTCGCGTTCAGGTACAGCGTCGGTCCGTCGGGGGAGGTCGGGTCGAGGTACGGCCGCACGTTGGAGGTCAAGGTCGTGTCGCTTACGCGCACCTCGACCGGCGCGTGGACGTAGAGGCCTTTGGCGGAGAAGGGAATGTTGTGGGGGACGTAATCCGGGTCCGACGGTTTTAGGTGGTTTAGCCATGACGATAGACGGCGGAGGGCCTCGGGGCCCCGTTCGAGCGGGATGGCCCACTCGTTGACGAATTGTGAGTAGAGGCAGTTCATGAGGAGCGCCTTGCGACTGGGTTGGACGGCGGAGATGGTCGAGCCGTTGGAGAAGCCGTATTGCATGCCGAAGACGAACCACTCAACCATGGGAAGGATTCGCGGCACGTACTGCGCCAGGTATAGCAGGTTGTGGTAAACGTAATATCCCAACGCGCCATCGTAGTTCCTCCTCGGTGGCTCGACAAGCTTCTCGTCCGTCTTGTCCGCCCTCCAGACCACTGCTCTCCTGGTGTACGGGAACCACCACACGCGAACGAACTCGCTCTGCGTCCACAGGTCCTTATTCCACGCGTTCAGCATCTTGACGTCTGTATCGATGGTCTGCGTCCATCTCAGGGTGAAGGAGCGCACAGCGCGGAAGGTGATTTCGGTGATGATGCCCAGCGCGCCGAGCGACAGCAGCGCGGCGCGGAAGAGCGCGGGGTTCTCGTCGTGCGAGCATATCTCGGTCTTGCCGTTGGCGAGGGTGATCTTCAGCGCCAGCACGTCTTCGGACATGAGCCCGTGGAAGAGGCTGCTGCCGTGGGTGCCCGTCGAGATGGCGCCGGCGATGGACTGCTGGTTGATGCTGCCCAGGTTCGGCATGGCCAGGCCGTGGCGCTCGAGCTCATCGCAGAGGGCGTATAGGCGAATGCCGCTCTGGATGATCGCCAGGCCCGAGGACTTGTCCACGGACAGGATGCGGTTGTAGTTGTCGAGGTTGACCAGCCAGCTCGAGGTGCAGGTGATGTTGGACGGCGAGTGGCCGCAGCCGGTGGTCACGATGCGGCGGCGGCATTTGCGCGCGAGGTTCACCACCTTTTCGATCTCGGCGAGGGACTCGGGCTGGATGTACAGCTCCGGGAGGGAGTAGAAGGTCTTGGCCCACGTGTGGTGGACGTGGTTGGGACGCGCGCGAAAGGCGATGTCGTTGGAGCTCTTTTCGAGCTCTTCAAGGATGGTAGGGTCCATGGCCCCGGGTGTAGGAAAAAAATCCTGGGTGAGGTCGAATCTGTCCGTTTCTTGCTTTCTGTGCAACTTGATGGCTCAGAGATACTTCGCTAGGCTGTCCACGTTCATCAAGGTTGGCGCCCAAGGTCAACTCGGCGCTCGGCGCATTCGGACAACCATGGAAGCAGCACAGGTAGATGAAGGACGCATGGCTAGTGAGGGAGAAGACGGAATGTGCTAAATTTCTACCCCAGAACCGCGGGGTTGGTGTAGGCAAGGGCTGGAAAGAGACGGGATGGAACATTAATAAAAGGGTCTCTCAGTCCGGTACCGTTTTAGCCCGACGAGGTCTTCGATATCTGGATGGTCGCGTCATCGAGTTGCTGTTTGCGACATGTGGATGCGCCGATAAGCTAGGGCTGAGCACGCTAAGCTCACAGCTTCTTCCGCTGTACAGCTGTCCGCGGGGTGCATTCCGCTGAGCTGGAATCCCTGCACCGACCAAGCCGAGGGAAGAGACGCCGACACTTACCATCTGTCGTTCTGTGCATCTTCAACTTCATCGCAGTTTTTCATGCATTCTCGCGTGAGCGGATGATGTCTAAAAATCAACGTAAATTGTACTGTAATGCATTCTCTCATACCTAAACAGAACCGCCACAGTATCCAGATTTCTAAGTCAACAGCTGCCACTTGACAGAAACACCAAGCACACAACTAAACCACACAACGAAAGGAAAATGCCCTCAGATTAGCTCTCTTATTGTTCTCACGGACAACGGCCGATGGGCTCCGCCAAAGTGACTGGATGTACCCTCGTGCTGTCTGCAAATTTGGCTTTTCGGACTCTGGGTCATCACCGGGCAATTCTGAATTCCTCGCTGCGCAGCCACTGGGCGAGCAGTTCTGAGATCTGTCTCCCGTTAGCAAGTGTCAACAGCGTCAAAGATTGAACTTACCGGCCAGCTCCGATTGAAAACTATATACGTGCTGTCATGCGCATAGTCGAGGCAAGCCACAACCCCGAAGGGGTCGCAGCCGTTGGCCAACGACCTTGCTTCTAGACTTGTTGCAATTTGTCGGTCATTGCGGCGCGTGATCTCAGAACGTGAGCAAGCCTAGAAGAGAAACGCAACGAGTTGTTCCCAGACTGGGGGAAACCCAGCTGGTGCCTGCTCAGATCTCTGTTCTTGGTGCTGGTCCTGTCACCAAATGGCGGGTTTCGTTAGAGACCACACCGTTCGGCGATCCCATAACCTTGTGAGAGTTGTCATCAGCGCAGACGATATTCTGAAAGCAGTAAGGGGATGGAAACGGTGGCTTGCTCGAAAAGTGGTGAGTGATCAGGAACAGAAACGACGTTGACGATCTCAGGCGCATCGGCAGGATGCTGCTTCCCGCTTGGGAGACAGCCACCCAGCGAGCGAGAGAGCACACGCGCTGGATTAGAGGCGCTTCGTGAAGAGGAATAAAAATGCTGGGAGTGATGGCATGGCTGGAAAGAAGCTCTCGAGCTGTCGCCGACCGAGTGCGTTGATCTAGAATCAAATGGTCAGTCTTGGGGCTCTGTGATGGCAGTAGCGATCCAAACGCAGGCTGGATGGCTAAACTGCCAGGACGCCCGACAAGTATTGTGCGACAAGTTCAATCATCTGAACTGCCTCGTAGATTCTCACGAGGTGCGCGACGTTTCGTTGTCAGGAAGCCTGGCAGAAGATGGAGGTGGATTGCCTTCGGTTGGTGCGCAAAAGAAGAAGGAACGCGACTGGACGCGACAAGCTTATGGGCTTGACCCACAGTGTAATATCCACCAACATACACAGCTCTACACACTGTATCCACCACCTAGGCAAGAACGGAGAGACTTCAAAAAGGGGCATGTATGTGCTTCGTTAGAATTGCACTAGTTTTTAATAGTTGGACATGGAATCATGATCAAATGACACTCTATCTTCTAAAGTCTATCCTTCTCCGCCTCGGCAGCCTCTTGCAACCTGGCCTCGACCCGCGCAATCACCTCCGCGTCGTACAAGTCCTCCAGGTTCTTCTCTCCGTTGAGATACTCCTTCTCGTGACGGAGAGCCTCGTCCCTCGTCATGCAGACCAGGTCGCGGAACCGGATGTTGGTCCACTTCTGCTGCTCGGAGCCCTCACCAATGACGAGCTTCGTCTTGCCCTCAGGCCTCTTCCACCGCACGAGCACGAGCCTGTTAATGAGACCGGTGACGGCGCTGCGGCCCTTCCAGAGCTCTTCGGTCAAGAAAGCGGCATCACCGAGGGAGACGGGGACCCGGATGCCCATGGATGCCTCGACGCCGTCTCGGTGCTTGACGAGGCGGGTCTCGGAGCCCTGGACGAAGCCGACGATGTCGCCGTAGAGCTTGTCGCGGTTCTTCGCCGGGACGTAGTCGAGGGGGTATCCTAGCTCACTGTTAGCCATGGTCTTGACATGGGTTGAATGTTTCTTACCTGAGATGCTAAGAATAACGTGGTTCGCGACAATGTATCCAAAAACGGCGGGCATGGTTCCAAGAACGGGGAGGATTCGCACTCTGAAGCTGGGAAGAACGCTGAGATCGCCAACGGTGCCCTTCTTGAACTCCTCCTCGGAGAGGGGCAGCAGAGCAGCCTTGCCTTCGGCCGCCACCTCGTTGGAGTACACGACAGGAATACCACTAGTCACACCAAGCAGCTTCAGCTTCCTGCGCGTAGCCCTCGAGAGACCGTCGTCGGTGCTGGCGCCGATGTCCGCAACGTTGATACGAGTAGGATCACCCTTGGCACCGGCGCCCATGCTGGAAATAACAGGAATCTGGTGGTCATGGCAGTACTTGAGCAGGGCAACCTTGGTGTCGATGTTGTCGATGGCGTCCACCACGAAGTCGGGCTTCTGGCCGTCCTCGGCCCACGGCGCGAGCAGCTCGGCAGCGACGTCCTTCTCGAACTTTTGGTTCTTGAGCTCGAAGCGGGCCCACGGGGTGATGGCGATGAGGCGGCGGT